TTTGTCTGGTAATTTCTTTATCATGTTCAATTCCTCTTGTATCTCCAAATCCAGGTGTATCTATTATTTTTATTGGTGGTGTTCTTTTTGTTCTTTTAATATTATAAATTGTTACTTCACTTGTTTGACTTTTAGATTGATCTCTATTCTGTTCTAAATTATCTTCATTTATAATTATATATCTAAAATCATCTGTTATCTTGATTCCATATAATGCATTTACAAAACTATTTAATAATGTTGTTTTACCACTTCCTGTTTGACCAACAACTAAAATAGCAATTGCATCACTCTCATCTTTTTGATTAAATGGTTCATTTGGATATAAATATATTTTCAATTTTCCTTTTTCATTTTTCAATAGTTCACTTCCTTTAATTGGAACATTTTTTCTGGGTACAGTTGTATTATTATTTGATGAAGTATTATGTGTTGTAGTATTACATGGTGAACCAACATGTGCTGTATTATTATTTGATGAAGTATCAAAATTTCTGTTGTTATATTGATCTTGTTATCATATAAAATAGATGATAATTTTAATGATTTTTCATTTTCTCTTTGTATTTTATTTCTTTCTTCATCTTCAAATATAAAACCTTTTGTTATACATGTTACAATTTCAAGTTTCTTTCTGATATCAGAAAGAGAAATGTTCTTATTGAATTGTTTTTTCATGAACGATTCTCCATCCGAATATATTCCAATTGTTATAGTATCCATTCCTTTTTCATTTTTAAGATTAATTTCATCATTATTTATTATATCTTCTACTAAAAACATACTTTCTTCATCTTTTTCAATTATTTCATTATCAACTGTATAGAAATGTGCAGACTCTGGAATATTTTGAATTGATTTTCTGACATCACTTAATTTTGTTTTCTTATCCAATTCAATGGTTTTAAATAATTTGTCATTTAATTTTATTTTTACTTCCTTTTTATCTTCTTTTTCTTTGATATTTATTATTCCTGATGAATCAATTACATTGCCTACAGTAAATGAATCTTCATCATTTATATCAATTAAATCTCCTTCTTTTGTTAGGAATTGTTGAGAACCAGACATCTTTTCTTTTAATTTCTCTCTTGCTGTTTTCAAATTGTCTTGTGAATTCAGTGGTTTAACTGAAATCGATTTTCCATTTAAAAAGACTCTTACTGTTACTTTAGACATTTGATGAATAATAAGTTTATTTTGTAGTTTGAGTATTGATAATTCAGAAAATAGGTTATTTGTTTAAAAGAATTACTTCTTTTTCTGATTGGTTATTTCTTTTAAACATCATTTGTTTTAATATTTTATTCACTTTTATTTTTATATTTCAGTATATTTTTATCGTTAATTATGTTTCCATGAAATAACATTACAAAGAAGTTTTCATCAATGTAAAATTTCAAAGATAATTTATTCATTCTTTA